AGAATTCAAAACAAGCGGTTGGTATTTTTTAATACACGTATGTAGTGTGCCCACCGTTCTCCCAGCAGTTGTGCCCTCAAGTTAAACTAGAGATATCTACTCTAAGATCCAAATGAATCCAAAATCCTAAAAACACTTCACATTACCTAGTATAATTACACTTCAAACACTCATAAATGTGCAAATAACGTTTCAGTTTACGCTTCAACAGGAAATCCTTCCCAGTGCTACCCGGAAGCCCGGCTAAGTTTCAGCTCAACGCCCCCCCCCTGCCACCTACCGGAAACCGCGCGCACCATGTGGCGACAGAACTCGTCGCTTCACGGCTGACAAAATAATTGTCGATTCGTCCAGGTTAATACGGCAAATGCTCACCGGCCACCGGCATTTCCGTGCGTTTGATTGACAATTACCGAGCGGCGTGCGCGCTCCGGGCGGCCAGGCACTAAAGAGATAAAACGCGCCCTCACGCACGCGCGCGCGCACGCACGCACGCGCACGCTCGCGCACCCGTGCGCGCCGCGATTTCCGCCGGAAATGCCGCCGAAACCTATTAGCGTTCCATAATACGGCGCCGCCACGCCGGCGTTTTCTAATCTAATATTAATGAGTTTGTTTGTGTCCGCCCGATATAAATACTGCATTAGCCAGCGAAACTTTTTTCGATTAACAATAAAACCCTGGACTACCAAATTTCATCAAAACCCTTTTCGGAGGGGAGAGTCGAATTGTTCTCCGCGAGCGCACATCAACGTCAATAGCGTTCGTTTCATAAATTGGAAACAACGGGAATACTTCAATTGGTCCACATATTTGCGACGCGCCTAAGAGAACTCCACGTACACTCGCGCGCGCACACAGACACACAGACACACAAACACACACACACACACACACACACGTGCGTGGACGGGAGAAAACTCCTACTGGCCGAGTTTAAACGGGAGCTCCATTTAGGAGAAAAACATTTTGATGTGAAGGTGATGACAAAGCTTTAGTTTGCCAATCAATGAAGAGAATTTGCTTTTGTATTAAGATATTTGGATGTCTCATTTTCCATTCTGCCTAAAACAACTAAGTTTAAAAATAGAAATAGGAGGTGGGATAGTAATTTAATCTTGAACGAGCTCAAATCATCATATATTACAATATCGTTTTATTTGGTTGAATAAAAAAAAAGGTTTTTTAATTTTTGAGGCTAGAAACTCAACATATTATACTTGCAATATAATAAAATAAATCATGAAATAAATCAGTAAACTGGAAATATGAACAGAAATTTCAGAAGAAAATATGTAGTGATATTACAGAATGTCCCACAATCTACCATGTTATTTTTCACGTTTTTCTCACGTTAATCAATTGGCTTAGAAACAATATATTTTCTGCCTGGAACAAAAGAAATTTCAAATTAAACCAGGCAATTTTAGCGATGACATATCTGTAAAAGGAATAACAAAAACTAATAAATCTCATAAATAATCAATTTTTTCTTCTTTATTTGTTATTTTCTTCTGTATTTGTTTCGTTTAAAAAATCCCCTTTTGATTTGGTAGATATTTTATTCAATAAAAAAGCAACCCTGCAATTGCCATTTTGCTTAAGTGATGTGATTAAGTAATGTGTGAATAATTTGATGAAAATACTATCAATACGCTGCCAAATAATTTGCCCGCCATCCATTTCTCTACCAGTAAACCTAGTTCAAACCTGAAAACCTTTACACAGGTACCGTACACTAACAGTTTCACCACAGGGTTTCCATCCAAACTAAATAATGAACGGTATTGTTTTCGATTAACACTCAACATTTAACACTCTGCGCATTATCTTTGGGGCGTTCAGAAATTCAAATATTCACCCCCGTCTTCGTGTTCTCGAGACATCCCCATCCCTCCCCTTGATAATCCAAACGCCTTCGTTGAAGCCACGCGGCGCCGCACACTTTGAGAAATACTGCTGGAGATGCTTTCTCCTTTAATTAAGTTTCGTCAATATTTTCGCGGTTCCTGCGTTGCTCTACGCTTTGCCTACGAAACAGCACCGAGCTTGAATTTCTCCCACATAAGATACGAGCAGCAGCCTCCATCTCCTCCTCCACCTCCTCCTCCTCCTCCGAGGAAATCGGCCGCATAAACTTGAGAGGCGCCAACCAGACAGAAACATGGTAGCGGCGCGAACTGCCGAGCCGCGGCTCGTGTTTCGTCTGTCGAGACATTGTTGTGAAACAAAGTGAGGAAAGGGCTCATTGAGAGGCTAAAAGCGAGGTTCCCTCCTTCACCGACGCGTGCATCGAGCCGCCATGGTTTGAGGTAGATTCCCTCCCCCCCCCCTCCTGGCTTCTCACGGCTCGGTGTGGCGGGGGCTGACGTGAGTTTGAAATGCAAATTTTCTTTTCTCTTTGCGTTCGCCGCGCCAGCACTGGCGTCGCCGGAGTTTACGACCCCCGCGCCGACGTCGGCGTAAGTTCAAATTTCTGCCACGACATGGCGGCGGCGGGGTTGCTTGTGAATCGGGTGAGGGAAGGTGACGAAACGCGCGGGAAAAAAAAGCGAGAAAAAAAAGAACCCGTAGGCGTTAATCCGGAAATTGGTAATGAGATGACTTGTCGAAACGGAGGTGATGTCCAGAGTTTACTCGGCGTGAAGGTGTACTTACTGACCTACGACGCCCCGTACTGTTTCGTTTGCATTGTTGGAGAGGTTTGAAACAATAGCAATTGTGTGTAAAATCCAGCACATAATATTTAAGATGTTGTGAGATGAGGTCTGGGTTGGGCTGTTTCAAACCCATTCCTGAATATTATCGTAAGACATTGTTTCAATCTCTTTGAAATAGGAATTGAAGGCGCTTGGCAATGCACGAACAGCAACGTGAACGAACAGTCATTTTTCAGTTTTTTATTGTTAAAATATTTCCACCGTATTTGTAGAACAAGGTGCTTTTATTAAAGAGCGGTTTTCGACTGATCAAATATTTTTCGTGGAGAAGGAAATGCATCAACGTTATCGTATAAATAAATTGCCCAATATGTATGCTCAGCCATCCACTCAGATTTAAAACTGTTTTCATTTACAAAATGGAAGGTAAATGAACATTTTTTTAAAATGAAAAAGCTGAAAAGCAATGTCCGGTATGAAGTATGACGCTAGATGACACTGACCTTCCCAATCAGCACAGGGAAGAATATTTTATGCATGCAGTTGTTTTGCATTAATCCATAAATGAAATCGTTTACATGGCTGTGTATTGCAGAGTTATCAAAGCATTCTAGTTAATATGCTTTTCTATGTGTCACTTCTTTTATTATTGAATGTCCATTCAATTTCACAATTCAAATGCAATTGCGCTCTTGCCTTGACAACATTGTACGCATAAAAGTTTTATTTCATTTCATATTACATTTAAACTGGCAACACATCTACCTCCCTCTACTTTCAAGGGGAGGGCGTTCGGCGTACTTTAACGTTCATGGAATCTGAACATACCTTTCTATATTACTTCAATTATTTTCATGAGTCATAAAACGTTGTTTGTCGTTCAAATTACTAGTCAATAAAAGTCTATTGAATTGTTATGAAACAAAATACACATTGAAAGTATTTTAAGTCACGAGGTAGTTAGAAATGGACACAGCTATAAACAATAAAATGAAAACAACATATCTTTATTTATATAATATTTAAAAAATCAGCATTAAAAATTAAATAACCGAAAAAAATGTCTCAAGACTACGATGGAATACACTTCTTACACTACTCGTATGATGCCAGAGCAGTCACAGTGGTGTCGTGTTCAAACAGAAACTCCCACAAAATAAGACAGACCCCTACATTTGTGTTCCTGTCTGACGAACAAGTCCATGCTGGGGAATATCATCTTGAAAGAACTTACATTATTCCTTATTGTTTCATACTGAATGCAACCCTTCATAAGTACAGTTACTTTCCAAGTATAGATCTGAACATGATGGGAGTGGGGCAAGATCTCCAAAAGTTATCCACCGTACAAGCTCTTGCTTTATGCGTAGGTCTGATCTGCTGAACGGGCACCACTTCGTAGTATTGGATTGATTTTTACTGTTCTCTACAGAAGACAACTTCTGGTTAGAATATTTAAAGGCAGCAATTAGTGGTGGTTTGACTCGTTTCCCTCTATTCTTGAAGAGGCATTACTATTGAATTGTTCTGTAAAGGATGTTTTTGACCTGTGCTCTTGTGCTGAGCGCAGGTCTGGTCTTGTTTACGAGTTCGATTTCATAATGGTAGGTTAATTAGTACATAAGTACACATGTTTTGTCGAGTTGGCGCTATTTTACTCATGCTGTGAGGGCGTGTGCAGCTTGGGGCTGCTGAACGAGTACGACTTCTTGGGGATGGATTAACCTGTGATCTGTAGTCGACACAAGTTTTGAGCCGTGCGCTTGATGTGAGCGCAGGTCTGATCTTATGGAGGTGGATGCATTTTTACCCAACTGTTCTTTTGACTCGTGCGCAAGTCGAGGCTGCTGGGCGCATATGACTTCGCGGGGATGGATTATCACGTGCTCTTCAGTTAACACGAGATTTGACCCGTGCGCTTGATGAGTGCACGGGTTTGATCTTACGGTATTTGCACCCAACTGTTCTGTAGATGTCGCCTCCTTTGAGCTGTGCTTCGGGTGCAGGTCGGGGCTGCTGGACGTCTCCTTGTATTTGGATTAACCTGTGCTCTGTAGTAGGCATAAGTTTTGTGCCGTGCTCTTGATGTGTGCGCAGACCTGATAGTGAACTTATGTGTACCCAGCTGTCCTGTAGAAGTAGCCTGTTATGACCCGTGCTTGTGCTCCGTGCGCAGGTCGGGGCTGCTTGACGAGTACGACTTCGTTGGGATGGATTAACCTGTGCTAGGCACGAGTTTTGACCAGTACTCTTAATGTGTGAGCAGGCCTAATCTTACGGTACTTGCACCCAACTATTAGAAGTCGCCTGTCGTGACCCGTGCGTGTGCTCCGTGCGCAGGTCGGGGCTGCTGGACGAGTACGACTTCGTGGTGGTGGGCGGCGGGTCGGCGGGCGCGGCGGCGGCGGGCCGCCTGTCGGAGGAGCGCGATTGGCGCGTGCTGCTCATCGAGGCGGGCGGCGACGAGCCGCCGGGCGCCCAGGTGCCGTCCATGGTCATCAACTACCACGGCACCGACCTCGACTGGCAGTACGAGACGCAGCCCGAGGCCCGCGCCTGCCAGAGCTTCCCCGGCAAGCGCTGCCAGTGGGTGCGCGGAAAGGTCAGTCGCCGGCCACCGTAACGGCCACGCTTAAGGCCCGTTGACCGTGCAAACACAGGCATAAGCATGATGGTAAACGAAAAAAAAGAACCGTTGGAATACAACAGATCCATGATACTGCGATAAGGAAACTTGTTACAGTATCATGGATCTGGTATACTCCAACGGTTCTTTTTGTTCGGTGTTAAAGAACCGTTGGAGTATACCAGAACCATGATTCTGTGATAAAGAACCTTGTTACAGTACCATGGATCTGGTATACTCCAACGGGCCTTTTTTTGTCGGTGTTAAAGAGCCGTTGTAGTATACCTGTTCCATGATTCTGTGATACGGAAACTTGTTACAGTACCATGGAT